AGCAAAATAGGATAACTAGGAATTCATTTCACCTACCCAGAAGGTGAATTTTCTGTAATACTTGAGTTGAGCCTGTTGTATGCTGATTTTCCACTCAAGGTGTATAAAAGATACTCTTAGCTAATTAAAGATTCACATTCACTGATTCTGATTCATCAGTGTTGTCTGGTACCAAAAAAGGTGATTTCAATTATTCCCAAATTTCTCCTACATTCTAACATTTACCTGTTGTGTAAGATTTTATTATAAGCAAATGTTTAAAAGAAATATATTTTAAGGTTGATGTAACTGAGGCCCAAGCAACAGAACTGTAAGTAAAGATGCCTACTGGCCTCTGTGGTCTCACAGGAACCAGATCGTCGATCAAAAGCTCAGCTCTTCTGCAAAAACTAGGGCATATGTTTGGTCTCCAACTAAAACTCAATAAAGAACTTTGATTTTATAGGCTAAAAATATCTTCATAAATATAACCTTGCTATTTGATAAACTCTAATTGCCCCCAGATTTTAGAGCTGACATCATACTCCCTCTATGACTATCCCCAAGTCACCCATTTCCAATCAGGGGTTTCTTTGTCTACAGTTCCACCCCCACCAAACTGTCAACATCCACACCATTAGATGGTGGTTTGCATTTGCAAGTACTGTCTCTCAGCAATCACAAAGTCATATCCAGAAGAATTCATTAGTAATTGTATTTGCATCTATTAACTGTAGATTAATAAGTTTTTATTTTAACAAGATTTTATTTACCAATTAATTAGAATGACAATTTATTACAAGTATGAAATAATTAATTCAGAATAACAGAGGAGCGTAAGCTCATCCGGTTTTTAGCAGAAACTGAAATCACCATCTCCTACTCCATGAGCCTCATTCTGCACAGCTTCTAATATCAGTCATTGTTATTAATTTCACATATTACTTACTCTTTATTTTCCCAGATACTAAAATTCTGGAGCTGTCAATTTCACAAAGACCTTTTAAAGGTAACTTTTCCATGTATCAAAGGCAGTTGTTTAAATAAGCATTCGTTCCTGACAGCCTCGCTCTTGACACTTTTCAGAGCAGCTGAGCGAGCATTTACATCCACCATGGCTTTCTTTGTCCTTCTCTCTTTTCTTTCCTCCAATCAAAGTAAATATACTCTCACAACAAGCATTAACTTGCATGTTTTTTTGGATATTTGTAAAATATGACCCTCAGTATAGCAATTAATAGAAAACAAATAAAATATTGATTTTTAAAAATCATGCAGAATATATTATTCTTTTCTTCAAATCTAATCAATGCTGTCACAATATTATCCTTGTGTCAAACATCAGTAAAATAAAGAAAATAAACCTTCTTCACTGGCATAATGATTTATTTGCAGATCAAGCAAAAACTTACTTTGCATATAATATTTGGAAGGCACAAACGAAACTAACTATAACTCCTACCTCTAAATTTTTCAAAGGTAACTTTATCCTGCCCATGTTTCCATTAAAAAAAAAATCTGTTGTCTTAAGATAAAAGGGACAAAAACTCTAAGACTTAATCCCTGCTTCAGGCTAATGACAAAAATATATATTTCATTTTTACTTCACATTCTGAAAAATTCCCTCGACAGAAAATGTTCTGAACTAGACTCTGAAAGGCAAATAAATGTATTTGCTTCACTTAAGTTTGCAGGATGACAAACGAGAGAAAAGCAGTCAAAGAGAAACATGAAAGTTGGCCTAAAACAGATAAGCTTCAACTGTTCTAAGACACATCCTAGTACACTGAACAACTCTGAATTTTTTGCTATGCTATTTGTATTTTTTTTTAAAGATTTATTTGTGCATACAGAACTGGGGTACAGGCCAGAGGTGCAGGGGCTGTGAGAGAATTCACCAGAGACAGAGTAGGGAGCAGAACAGGCAGACTCCACTGCTGAGGGGAGCAGCAGGTGGGTCAGGAGAGGTCAGCCACGCCATGTGGTCACCTCCGGGGCAGGCGGGGATCAAACACATGCAGAAGTGGCATTCAACTCTTAGTGCTGTGCTTTAACCCGCTGGCCCACCAGGGTAGTCCTGCTATTTGCATTTTATAAGGAAGTAACAAAACTTTACACATTTTCAATGATAGAAGACCTTGTTTGCCCTCCTACACTCCTGATTAAAAACTACAAATTTATTTCTAACGATCTCACTGAACTACTGCTTTCTGAATTGCAGATACATCAGATTAACAGCCTGGCACAGTAATGTAGGGATTGACTGGTATGAAACAGAAAGAGACCATGTCCTCAGCTTAAGCTCAGCGCAGGGCCTGTCCAATGCACGATGCCTGTCCATCTGCAGCCAGCCGGCTGAGTTCCTGACGGCCTTTCTGGTTAAGAGACTAGACAGATTTTTCACAGCTTAATTTCTAAGTCTGAAGACATTTTCTGGATTCTAACTCAATACAAAACAATGACTTCAACCTTATCTTAGGCTTCAAGAAATCTCATCATGATTTTTCAAATTTCAGGGAAAAAAAAAAAAGACAAAGCACTCTTCCATTTGTTTCCTTTACAGAAGAAAACACTGCTGCTGACAAAGCAGTGACCGGCATGGAACCTTCCCGATGGGGCATTCCTCATGGCATCTCCTTTTCTTTGCTTTTCCTTATGTTGATAACTAGACCTGGGAAAACTGGGAATTGGAGGCCAGCAGCCATACTCCACTCTCTCTGACTTCACTACTATCTTCCCCTAGTCAAACAGTCCTGTTACACAGCAGGAAAAAGCATGCAGCCAGCAAGCTGTACAGCCTAGTCTTTCCCTCAGGGAGAGCGAAGAACTAGAAGTGTCTTTAGAGGGAACTTCTGTCCAGTAAGAAGACAGGGCCTAGCCAGAAAGGTCAGGGCAGGGTGAGCAATGGCGTGGGGTAGTTTAAATTTTGCCTGTAACGAGGTATAGGGAAAATTTAGAGGTATTTCATGAATGAGCCTTCATTTAAAAACTGCTTTTCTGTATAAGCAGGCTGACTTCTAGAGTAACTGAGGTCAGTTTGAGGCACATTTCTACCCAGCTAGTTTCAGTTCTTTCCCTTACTAAAGATTTTATGCATTATTAATTCTTAAAAACACTACAAGCAGACCTAATCCACCACTGCTACTCTATTTTGACAGTTAGGTTCACACACTGATTTCTATTGATTGTCTTATTTCCTTTGCTTGGTGAACTTGTACCTTTGACGACCTGGCTTCTAACAGTTTCTTAGTTTGATTGGTATCACAAGAGTAGTGTTTTGGATTATTCTACCATGCATTGCTAAAATAATCATTCATTTAACTGTTTGGAAATAAGTTTAAATCTTAAAAATATATATTTTGAAATAAAGAAAACACTGAACCTTACATTTTTGTCCAAGTCTATTCCCATGAATCCTGATTCCCATTAGTTTATCCAGATACTCTACATAACATATACACAATAAGACCGTTGTAGCAGTAAGAATTTATTCTGCATATATGCCATTGTGTGCTATTTATGCAAATCAGTAGCAGACTTCCAGATCACGTTAATATTTTGCTAAAAACAAATAATAAACAAAAATTACTAGTAAGTGAAAGGGCTTTATACATAAACTCAATCTGCATATTAATGATAGGACAGAGACTTAGCATAGTTAACAAACTCAGAACTTAGCATGTGGATAGATAAATGGACTAAAATAAGGCAGAACTGAAGTTGTGCCTAATCCTGATAACCATTTCCCACTTTGTATTTGCATATAAAATAGATGGCAATTCCCTGGTACCATTAATTTCTTTCTTCTTAAGCAAAAATAATTTACTATTATATATTTAAATAATCAAAATAGAAACCCCTTCTGAAAATGCAAATTATTTAAACAGATGGAATTGCTACACAATCTCAAAGGAGAGCTTTAACTTTGCTAATTTTTTTTAAAAATAAGGGTATAAAACAACACATACAAAAAAAGCTATGCAAAACGAGACTTGCTCAGAAAATAGACCTAAATACTCTTCCTTAACATCCTGATACATTTGTAAACATCTCATATTTGATGTTAAACTAATTCAACTGCAACCATGAGAAGACATGACTTGAACATTTGCATTCAGTACTTTAAAATATTTCCCAAATAAGTCTTGTTCTCCTCTTCCAACTACTACAACCTAGTGTCTGAATAGTTTTGATACAACTTTTTAAGAAACTAGTGAAAATACATCTTTCCTCCTAATCAAGATTGCTAACAGCAGAAAGGTATACAATGTTGGAAATTCAGTGGCAGAGCCAAGTTTGATCCAAACATAAGCCCATTCTTGCAATGTTTCAGGCCAGCACTGGCAATGAATACTGATGGCTGTAAGAAGATTATGTGCTCTCCAAGTGGACGACTTATTTCATTCTAACCAACACTGGCATTAAGAAAACTGGCAGATACCAACTGCTGCGAAACAGCTGCAGGTATCCTAGACTTTAGTCTATAGACACACCCATAGAAAGTTGAAAAAACTGCAAAGGGAAGGCCTCAAAGGACCCCCATCAACAAATATCTTGTAGTTAGAAAAATATTAAAATGAAAGTTGCCACCTTTGTTGGTAGATATGGTACTGGAAAATGGGGTCAATCATCTAAACATTTTTTCCTACATGTGTTTGACTGAAACCAAGGTAAGCTGAAACAAAGAACGAACAACATCATAAAGCATAGCTCAACATAAGGGTCGGGGGTTTGAAGGAACCAAAGAACACAATATCTACTCCTTTCTATTTCTTATGAAACCACAGAAGAACCTTTACATGTCAGTAAGTATTTAAGACTAAAAATATATACTTATGTATTATTTTTAAGTGCTAATGAACCAGATCTACATATCAATAACTTTACACATTCTGGATCTCACATTTTCCACACGAATCTGTTGTAATGGATATCATGTATGTATCTATCACAAAAATCTGATTCCAAGCTGTTCCGATCAAATCTCAGCTAGCCAATACATTCTCTGTAAAGTATCTGTTTTACTGAAGATCTTTCTGTGCCAATGTCTGAAAGGAAGACATACAGTAATTATTCATTTCATAAGGAAAATAAAATTTTTGATAAGGAATCACATAAAATGTATGTAAATTTTAGCACAGTAAGTAGGTACTTAGAAATCTTATTTTTGCAAGTTTTAAAACTATAAATCCTAATATTGAACTACTGAAACACACACACACACACATACATGTATGTATAAAATATTGGAATTTGAAAAAAAATAAAATCTTGGTTGACTAAAAAGCAAAAATATTAACAGAATAAAAGCATGAAACAAAATGTATGAAATCGAAACTACATTTTAATATACCTTAAACCTAGCTACATTAAGACCTCAATTAAAATAGAGCAAGGCTAATACAAACAACCAAGTTAAGATGTTAAAAGCAATTTAAAGAGTTCTCACAGAATCTGGAAGTAAATTTCCAATAATTGAATCTATAGTTTTTGAGATCATAAAAATCTATAATAAGAAAGTTTTAGGATCGAACATAATAAAAGTATAACTTATACCTATCAGAAACAAAACACTTTTAAACTTTATGATAGTTAAAATCCTTTAGGACATTAATCCACTAATAACTGTTTCAGTCATGGGAAGGCTATGAGGTTGGGTTTTGAATGTTGTTCCTTTTTTTTTTTTTTTTTTTTTAACTATGCTTGAACTTCTTTTTGAGTAGCACTAGCTTTATGTGGCACCTAACACTCCAGGAACTCAAAACATTGTGTAGATTTATATCTTGGTCTTAGGTTTGTTCACTGTAGCTGCTTTTCTTTTTGTGCAAATCCCTGTGAAGGGCAAAACACTTGCTCAATGATATATTTACAGTAAAACCAGCCACTTTTACCAGTCTGTAAGATAATGTTGAACAGAAACAAAAGAATCAATATGGCTTACCAACTCCAAAAATTCTATTTCTGTTTGGAGAGCTTCATAAACACTTTGCATGTCATCTTCCTTATAAAGATCTAATTCTTTTTTCAGTCTATTTTAAAGGAAATATTAACCTCATTAATTAGTCAGCAATTAACTTATAATTTTTTTATTACATGGATAGAGGCAGATTTGCAACTCCTATCATCAGAATTTCAAGTCGACACTAAAGAATTTGTAAGATAATTTGATTCTTTATAATTCAGCAAGGATTATATATATTTTCAAAATCGACCCATAAAAGAAAAGCAGACTGAATAAATAATAGACACAGTAATTTTGGGGTAATTAAAAGAGCAAAATGGTTTGGTGGTTAAAATACAAGTACTATAACCTCTGTTACAGTCCTAGCCACTAACAAGCTAAATAACCTCGCTAAATAATTTAGTTCTCTCAACCCTATCTGAAAATTTTCAAGTACAGAAATAAAATGACCTCTCAGATTTCTTCTTGCTCTAAAATTATACATTAACTTTATAATACATTAATGGAGTTCAAATATGTTTTAATTTGTGAGTGAAAAATTATATCAATACCTTTTCTCTCAATTAAATCTTTAATCCTTTCCATATATTGAAGTTTTTCTTTCAAAATTTATTTTATGCTTATATTTAATGTGGATAGTAGTGAAGAAAGTCTTCCATTTCTAGCATTATAGCTAACATGTGTTTAGCTCCAAATCACAAGGTGTGTCTGGGGAGGTTGAGAGGCAGTGCCTGTGAATGGGCAGGTAGGGTGATGGTCCCTTGAGGGCAACATTGTGAGAGACAACACTGCTCTCACAAACCCAAGCAAGTTGAGTCAACCACAAGTTAAGAAAGACAGATCGACCTGAACCTTTGCAGAGTCTTCCAAGGGGGAAAGTGAAGGAGTCCTACTCCCTGTGTAGTAGCAGGAGCAAAAGAAAATCCTCCTGAAGAAAAGTTTAACCTATTTAGACCTACAGACATCTGATAGATAAAGAGCAAATTAGTTTAGTCAAAGATCTCCAATCACCTAGGAAGATACACCATTGAAACAGAGTCACCAGAGACAATAAAGATGAACAGCGTATACCTGTAATATACCAAAAACTACAAGTCATAGTAAAAGCACAATGGAAAAATGGAGGTGTGTGCACACACCTGCATATAACATGATATTATGAGGTTATTCATAAAAGAATAAGTGGCATCACACTACAAACAATCAAAGAGCTGTTAAGATGAAGAAGAAATGCTAAGGGTTGCCAAGGATTTGAAGAAACAGTTCCTGGATATTGCCTACATATTATTTTCCATTCTTTTACTTTTAACCTATCTAGGTCTTTTTTAAAAAGATTTATTTATTTATGCACACAGAACTGGGGTACATGTAGGCCAGAGATACAGGGGCGGTGAGAGGATTCACCAGAGACAGAGTGAGGAACACAACAGGCAGATTAATGAAGTACACCGCTGAGGGAAGCAGCAAGTGAGAAAAGAGAAGTCTGCTGCACCATGTGGGTCACCTCCAGGGCTGGGGTTTGAACTCAGTGAAGCGGCTAGCTAGCTTCCCAGTGCTGTGCTCTAACCCACTGCATCATCAGGAAGGGCCTCAGTTGGTGTGTTTAGACCATTTACTTTTAGTGTAAGTATATGGCTAAACTGAAGACAGCATTTTGCTGTTTACTACTTGTTCCATCTGTCATTTGTTCCTTTCCCCACTCTATTACTGCCTCAGATCAATGGATTTTTTCTTCAGATTACTTTTTATTTCCTCTGTTCATTTTTTGTATGTATTTAACTTTTATAATACTTGCACTAGGTTTACAAAATACACCTTCAACTTATTGCTGCATACTCTCCAATATCATACTCCTGTACTTACAATAAAACATTACATATATATATATGTGTGTGTATATGTGCTTTAAATAATTTCATTATTTTTATAAGAGTCTTTGCTATTATCTCTAACATATGGAATAGTGTGGATGAATCTTACACGTGTCATGTTAAATAAAAGAAGCCAGAGCTAAGAAGCCACCTAGCCTCTTTACATGAAATATTGGAAAAGACAAAACTAGGAAGGAAAATGCAACATGTTGGGGAAGATTTCAGGCACTGGTTATAAATGGGTAACAGGGAATATTTGGGGTGATTGTATTATTCATTCTGTATCTTGATTGTGGTGATGGTTTCATAACTGAATGTGTTTGTCAGTCTAACAGAACTACATATTAAAAGGGTGAATTTCATTATAGTTTATAGTTCAATAAGTCTTTTGTAATCCAGGTTCCTATAGGATAATGCTAACCACCTAAATAAAACAATTTTCAATTAGAAGACTGAATAAGGTCACCTATAAACCATACTTACAAGTGAACTCAGAAATAGAAGGTATTACAAATTTGAAGTTACATGTAAGAGAACCACTGCTGACTGGGGAAAATTTTCAAAGAACTGTACTATCAACAAAAAAGCAAAGACACTTTCAGAGATCAGATAATCCCAATACTGTATGTTAGTTAAGCAGATAAAAAATAAGGAAAATAGTCAACCTATTTTCTAAATCAGCAATAACATTGATACCTAAACCTGATAAAGAAACTGCATGCACACAAAGCAACCTATAAGTACTGATGCAGAACTCCTAAGTAAAATACTACCGAAAAAGAATAGCATATCACCTTAAGTAAATAATATATTACAACCAATTAGCATCTAAGAGGGATTAATCTATGGTTCAATATTAGAAACTCATTAATGTAAATTGAATATATTAACATTTCCAAGGAGAAAAAATATAATTATCTGCAGAGGTGCTGAAAGGAGCTTTGAAATATTCAAAACTTATTCCTTCATAAAAATAAAAATAATAAGATATACCTTTTACTTTATAAAAATACATGTCCCTATTAAGGTAAGCATTTTGTTTTTGAGATAACTCTACAGTTAATTACCTTAAAATCAAAAACAAGACTACCATCTCTATCACTACTTAATATACCAACATCAGAAATAGCCATTGAAATTATCTAGAGACTAGTGTAGGATAGTAATTGCAGGAACAGGAATTTGAAATAAGAAATAAAGCTACTTCACTGTCCAAATTGTTCAAGTGATTTGACAGTATATCTGAAAAATTTGTCAATCTATGATTAAAATCAAACCAAACAATAAAATAACAGGGCCACAAGAAGTAAAATTAACAAACAAAAGCCACTACTACCTTAATTGTCCCCAAATTAAATAAATGAAATTTGATCCCAATAAAATATTAACACTCTTCCCCCGGGACTGGAAAAATTGATTAAAAAGTTCTTATTTAAAAAAATAAAACATCATAAGACATTATAGTTCTTGAATATTTGGGGGGGTTTGTGGGGGAACCCTTGAAAAAGTAAAAGCCAAAGAAGAGTGACTAATCTTACCAGACAGTAAATCATACTATTAATCCTTCATAGTTAAAACAGTATAATGAAGTGCAAGTGGACTAAGGGTTCTGTAGGATCGTTCAAGATTATCAAAATAAGACAGTGGTCTCTTTTAGTTTGCTTACAGTTAAGTTTGCCTAATGAATGAAGAAAGGCATTTAGAGTGAATTTTAGCAAGTATTTCTCTATTCAGCATATAATCAAGCTGTAGAACTTAGATTTGTACTTAAATATTACTTTTGCTAGCTCTGTAAGAGTCTAGATGATAATGGCATGAATATTAATTCACTGCAGCTAGCCCAAACTACATACTGATACACAGATCTCTTGTGTCAGTGTACAGACTGATTGCTCACAGGAGTTAAGAAAAACTTCCTTTACTACTGTATGAAAACTAAGGGCAGTTTGCATTGGTTATTTTTATATCTGTCTCTGATTCATCAAAATCACAAGAAAGATGGGCCAACTTTGCCAGTTAGTTTAGCAAAACTGATGCCCCAGGTATTTGTATAATTTTTTTTGGTACCATCCCAACTTTTTTCCTTTACCTCTTTGTGCCACAGGAAGTCTGAATTGAAAGGCCATTCTTTTTTTTTTTTTAATTTATAAGTATATTTTTGTGCATTTTTCCATCTCAGTTGCAATTCTTTTGGGTTTCCCATCCCAAATCACCCATGTGCCATCACCATAGTCCAGTGCAAAAATGTCACTCTTAGTGGGGAATGGGATCAAAAACGGGGGGGTGGGGAGAAAAGTGCATGGGATTATGGTGATGGCACATGGGTGACTTGGTGATGGGAAACCTGTGGGGATTACAATTGAGATGGAAAAAAAATGTACAAAATGTTGTAAAAATAAACTTATAAAAAATTAAATAAATGAAACTTTAAAAAAAATGCCACTCTTTTTAACCATATAATTATATGTAAGTACAGAACACAGGAGGGAAATTTTCACCTTAAGTTCTAGTTAAGTCCAAACAATCAAATAATATTATAATTTAGGTATATCTCATTGCAATCTTTGGTTTCCTTTGAATATCTGATTGTTCAACTTTGCCTCCTAGTATTTTTGCTGCTAGTGCTATTACATATCAGTTCTCTGCTAGTGCTGTTACATGCCAGGTAACCACAGCTGTACAGCTGCCAACTAATATCACAAGATAAACACATGTTTATACCACAACTAACTGAATCATTCATGTATGATACAGCCTTTGATTGTTCCTACTTTCTTCTACCACAAATAATATCACTATGACCACTGTTGTACATAGTTTCTTCTGTACTTATTTCCCTGAGATAGTGCTCATAGCAGGAAATGGCATAAACATTTTTTGAGCTTACTATAAATTGATATACTCTAAATGGCATTCCAAGTACATGCGTGCTTACTGCCACCAGCAATGCAGGAGCCATCTCTGTACCGCATCCTTGCCAGTTTCTATTACGGGTATTAAGAATGTCTCTCAAATTTTGATTAAAAATGATATTTAGTGGTTTTAATTTGCATTTCATTAGCAAGTAGTATGGTTGAATTATGAAAATAGGCCAGTATGATGATAGCAAAGATACCCATTAAGTTTGGAAATCATTAATATCATATATGGCTTGTGCAATAAATAAAAATTATTTCAACATTCAGGACACAAACAG